GCAGGGACAGGTGCAGACATGAGCTGGAGGATGGCTGTCAGGGCGCAGGTGGCCGGCCCTGCCAGGAGCCCACAGGAGTCCAGCTGGCCCGTGCTACCTCCGAGACTAAAGGGCTTGGGAGAAGCCTTGTCCTGACCCCTCCAGCTTGACGGAACAAGGAGGGAATCTGCACACAACTAGAAAGCTAACAGAAACTTGTAGAAAGGCAGGCCATAGGTTATGCCTAAACCCAGAATACAGTGAGCTGCATCACTCCCAGGAATGTAGGGATGAGGGACTCTGAAGACTGTGACTAAACAAAGCTGGGCTCTCCATCTCACTGGGCTTGGGTAGGGCCTGTGCCCCAAGTCATCTGCACAGAGAAGAAGAATTTCTTGCTTGCAAAGAATCTAGCCTAAGCCGTAGCCCCAAGAAGGCACTCACTCTCTTTGGTGGCGACAACAGAAGTGACAATGGCGAGTGGTCAGGGCCCTATTATTGGACACAAAACAATGAGTGATGAGCCACAGATTCCACAAGGTGCCATCACCACAGAGGGGGTGAAATTCAGGTGTTTCCCATTCCTTAACCAACACTGAGGACTGATCAGAGAGCTCAGACAAGGGCTAGGGTGGCAGGTGCTATTTATTATCAGTCACTATTCATTGCTTGGCAACACTAAAACAGATGATCAGAATCACACAGTGACATCCACACACCATCCAGGAGTTAACCTAAGTCACCAACACAAGGTGGCTGGGAGAGAGCCATCCAGACAGAAGCCTGCCCCCTGCTGGACATACTGATGACAACTTGGATGAAAGGGGAAGGCGAAGAAGTCTCAGATCAGAGAGAAATCCTGGCTACCGCCAAGACCCCACAAACATAATGGGGGGACACAGGAACTTACAGAAGGGTCAATGGATGTAGGGGTATATCATCTCCAGACGTCGATAGTATTTAATGAACTCTGAAAAAAAAAATCACTAAATGCCACTTAGAACAATGCCCTGCAGCTCTCTCCCCTTTCCCTCAACCCTTTGTGCGGCTTTCCCCTAGATCCGTTCTCCCTCCTTGGATCACTCTTCCATTCACTGAGAAATTGAAGCCTTTTCTGGCAAAGCCTATTTAGAGAGTTGTTTGACCAAAGGAGGTTTGAAATACCAGTTCATGAGAGGCCTGTCAGGACCAGGAGGCACCAGGAGGACTTGGCAGATGGCTGGTTCAACCCCAGAGGCGGCCACATCTCCACACTCCTCACCTGTTTCCCCCACTCTCTCTCTGCCATCAGAAGGGGTGTTCTATTCTATTTCTTGCACATGCGATACAACTCTACTGTACCTTGAACCTTCCTCCGTCCCTCCCTCAAATTATTCTTTTTTTGGGTGCCTGGGTGGCTCAGATGGTTAAGCGTCTGCCTTCGGCTCAGGTCATGATCCCAGGGTCCTGGGATCGAGTCCCGCGTCGGGCTCTCTGCTCCTTGGGAGCCTGCTTCTCCCTCTGCCTCTCTCGCTCTGTCTCTCATGAATAAATAAATAAAATCTTTAAAAAAAAGAAAAAAAAATTATTCTTTTTTTTCCAAAGATTTTATTTATTTATTTGAGAGAGAGCGTGAGAGCAAGCACAAGCAGGGGGAACAGGAGAGGGAGAGGCAGGACCGATGCGGGACTCGATCCCAGGACCCTGAGATCATGACCCGAGCCGAAGGCAGATGCTTAACCAACTGAGCCACCCAGGCGCCCCTCCTCAAATTATTCTTGAGCCATCCTCTATGACATTATCTAAGCCTCTCTGTTTCTAATACTTACAATGTCTCAGAATCAGGTTTGCAGGCTTGTGGGGCCTGTTAGCTCTAAAACCACCTCTTCTATAGAACTAGACCATTTAGTTGTAGTATTCTAGCATTTAGTGAACAGGTCTCAAATAGCTTAAACGTTGTGCCTGACTATTCAGCCTCCTCTTTCTACATTGAAAGTTCTAGGTTTTCTTCTGCCTAATTTTGTGTGCAGGCTACTCCATTCTGTGATCAGTTTAAGAGTGCTCTATGGCTCAGTTCTGGTTTTTTTTTTTTAAGATTTTATTTATTTGAGAGAGAGAGAATGAGAGAGAGAGAGCACGAGAGGGAAGAGGGCAGAGGGAGAAGCAGACCCCCTGCTGAGCAGGGAGCCCGATGTGGGACTCGATCCCGGGGCTCCAGGATCATGACCTGAACTGAAGGCAGTCGCTTAACCAACTGAGCCACCCAGGCGCCCATCTCAGTTCTGGTTTTAAGTGAGGTGTGAGATTCACATTAGAAAGTGAACAAGGTAATTCCATATCCCAGGCAGCCCTTGTAAAGCACAGGATCTTTAAATCCTTCCTGAACAGAAGCATTTAAACATCCTGAACCCAGTTGAGAAAGCTTGTCTAGTGATTTTTAGAAAAGGACATACACTGTTATCCATACTGTTTTACATAAGCCAACTCTCAAAAAAAAAAAAAAAAAAATCCTGAAGCCTCCAGTTATGGGATGAATAAGTCACAGGAATAAAAGGTCCAACACAGGGAATAGGGAATGGTATTGTAACAGTGCTGTAGGGTGACAGATGGGAGCTACACAGGTGGTGAGCATAGCAAAATGTACAGACTTGTCCAATCATGTCATACACCTGAGACATTGTGTGTCGACTGTACTTCAATTAAAAAACAAACAACTAAAGCCTACTTTTTTTTTTCTGAAGATCTAATTGGCTTTATTAAGTGTTTCATTAGTCAGGCAGAGTTCCATCTAGCAAGTAGAGAGGAGCTCCTGAAGCCTACCTTTCCAAGCACTGATATTAAAAAATAATTTTGACTACTTTTTAATTTTTAAAAAGCCTAATGTATGGTAACTTCCTCTTCTTATTAAACCGAGTACACCTGTGATACTGTGATATAATAAGAAGTATCTATTTGGTATTCACTCCTCCTTCTTAGCATGAGCTCCTAAAATCCTTGGAATTTCTGAGTGAAAGGGGTGAGAGTTACATCTTTTGTTATTCATAAGGAGCCTCTTTCATCCACACCTCAGTTTATGCTAATGAAGCATCCTCTCCAAGGATGGGGCTGGTTGCCAGGGGAACCAACCAGAGGGTTGGAACTTTCAGCCCCACCTCCAACCTCCAATGGCCAATGACCATTGATTTCATCAATTGATCCTGTACAATGGAACCCCCCTAAAAATCCTAAACAGTGAAGTTCAGAGAAATTCTGGGCTGGTGAAGACACAAAGGTGCGGGGAAGGTGATGCACCTGGGAAAGCATGGAAGTTCTGAGCAGATGCCCCTATCCCTGCCCATGCATCTCTTCCATTTGGCTGTTTCTGAGTTGTTCCTTTATAATCAACTGGTAACATTAAGTTTCTTGCACATGGGAGTCAACTCTACTGTAGCTTCAAGTTCTGTAAGTTGCTCTAGCAAATTACTGAACGTGAGGAGGGGATCATGGGAACCTCAGATTTATAGCGGGCTGGTCAGAAGTACCAGAGGCCTAGACTTGGGACTGTCTGAAGTAGGGGCAGTCCTGGGACACTGAGACCTTAATGTCTGGTGTCTGGCACTCTGGAAAATGTCAGAATCGCCTGCCGTGAGGGAAACCTCCCCACCCCCACATTTAGTGTTAGAAGCTTTGTGAGTAAAAACCAGTTCATGGTAGCATGGAACACCATTTGGTGTGTGATGACTCAGGTCCATCATGATGAATGATGCGTAAGTGCTTTTATGACACCAAGGTGTCCCCGGGGATTCCTAAATAAGATAGGGCTGTCTACCACGCCGGGGCCTCAGCCTATTACTTAAAAAAACACATTAATTCTGTGAGCTCCTCCCTCTGTTCTATAGGACTCTGAATGTATTTGTTTTCAGAAGTGCTTCCCCAGTCTTTCCCTTAGGCTGTCCACTTGCTAGTTTGCAGTAAGGATAAAGCCGATACCCCAAATGACCAGTAATCCTAGATGGATATGTAATTCCAAGTCTCTGGACTCTGGCCTCAAAGTGGCTCCATGCTGGGCACACTGACATAGCTTTACGTCAGCTAAGTACGGAATTTTTTTACTTTCTTATTTCATTTTATTTACTTTTCATTTATGCTCAAAGAAAATGCAATAATGACACTTACTAACAAGAAAGTTTTATGAGCAAAGAAACTACCAGTGAAGACATATACTGTTAGGGATACCATTGGGGAATAGGAACCGGGCACTTTGACGCGTGTTAAATAAGGTCACGTCTAAGGCACACTCATCTATAGAATGAGGGTCAAAGCTTTCCTAAAATAAAGTACTGAATGTTGTTATTCCTATTATATCCTATATCCCAGAATTTCTTTCATTAATTTCTCAGCTCTGGATATCCGAAAATGTCAGTGAAAGTGATCTGAAACGAGTCACAACTCTTTTTCTCAAGGCACTGAATCCACCCTCCATCCTGCAGCCTGACCTGATTTTCTCCATCAGCTGCTGCCCTGCTCTGGGACTCCCGCTGCTTCCACAATGGGTACTGATTAGAGTCTAAAGTCTTGGGCTGGCTGGCAAACACCCCAACAGCTCGGTCCACATGTTCTCTGCCAAACTAACCCTCCACTTGGCCTTCCTCTCCTTCTGTCCTCAGCCCCACCACACACACCGTCCCCGGAACACCACCAGCCCGGGCTGCCCTGAGACCTTGAAGTTGTTTCCTCTGCCCGGATTCCTTCTTCTCCACACCTGCCACTGGAAGTCTTCCAAAACCTCCAATTCCATCCCCTCCTGCTCCTTCCCTCCCTGCCTCCCACGTCCCCCTCCCACCTAATTTCTTGTATTAACACTCCACAGTCAGGGCTGTTCAGGAATCATTTCCTCTGTCAGACCTGGAGGCCCTTGAGGGCGCTCTGCCTTCCCCATACCTCCCAGCACAGCAGCTGAGATGTGATGGAACGGGGAAGAGACGCAAGCCTTGTGCATGGAAACCATGCCAGCCCTCCCCCCCCACCCCGCGCCACGAATCTCGAGATCTTTGCATACTCACGGTTTCCACAGTTGAGACCACCAAGCCCAAATGGGCAACTGCAAGTCAACAGAGAAAAAGAATGAGAATTAGTTTCAACAATCAAAAGAAATAACTGAGGCAATCTATCCAAGTAACTTCTAGGTAAAGTTTGTAACAAATTCATCAGAATAAATGAGCATGGAGCCTACCTCATACAGGTTTCATTTTCGAGTCTATATCCATCTTCACATGCTGAAAGAGAAAAAGGAATATCCATGAATATGTCCCTTGACCTCCCTTGTCCCAAACTGACAGTTATTAGACACCAGCCATCTTCAAGTCCACAAGAATATTCTAGAGCCAGAAGCCTACAAACAGCTTTAGAATTATCCATAACTTGCGAGCTCAACTGTTAATTTTTTTAAAAGATTTTATTTATTTATTTGAAAAAGAGGGAGAGTGCATGAGCAGGGGGAGAGGGGGAGGGAGAAGCAGACTTCTGCTGAGCAGGGAGCCCTATGTGGAGCTCGATCCCAGGACCCTGGGATCATGACCTGACCCGAAGGCAGACGCTCAACCAACTGAGCCACCCAGGCGCCCCTTTTAAGTTTTTTTTTTTTTAAAGATTTTATTTATATCACAAAATTTTCTTAACCTTTTAGTGGCTCTCAGTTTCCCATCTATATTTAAAAAAAAGGATCATGATAGCAATAGTAATATCTACCTTATCATTTCTTGGAGACAATTATGTAAAATAAGACATGTAAACGGCTTAGCACAGTGCCTGGCACATAGTTAGCACCAAATAAATGATTATAGTTGTAATTATTATCCAACACATGCAATTCTCTTTGGAAGTTCTCTGTGGCCCCTGTATAACATCCTTCCATATACACAAAGACAAATGCTTTACCTTCTTTAACGTAGGTCAAACCTTTAACCTGCTGTTGGCCCCAACAGCCCCTTCCAAGAGGAAGTAGAGCTGTGATATCCTCTGGGACATGGTCCTGGTGGATGCCTCAGTTTTCATAGAATGCTCGCCCTATCTATAGTCTGTGCAGGGGATTCTGGACATATCTAGGTGAGTGCTAATCAGCACAGCACCCAAGAACGGAACTTGGAACCCTCTGGTGGTGCTGCTGATGGACTGGAGGGCTGTGGTCCAGCCATTCCTGTGGGTCAGCAGTTCCTGAATTTATTTGATCACGGAACACTTTCAACACTACAATAAGCTGACAGAACAGCATGAGCTATAATGCATGCTTGGATGAAAGCAGACAATAAAAAATGGCCTCATCGTCAAATTCATTGCTGCAAGAAGTGATAGAAATTTGATTCATGAATAATGTACAATGCACACTGCATAAAAGATCACAGATAAGAAAAGGTACACAGCGTAGAGCAGCGATCCCCAGACAGACAGCACACATGCTGACAGTGGGATGTGAGTGTCGGCAGCATGCTCGGCTCGGGGCGGGGGCGGGGGGGGGGGGCGCACACCCTGGGGGCTGGGACAGGAGCTCTCTCGTCCACGTCCCGCATCCTCTGCTACGGATTAGTGCATGATAATATTAACTGATGTAGATGTGCTCATTGCTGTTCTTCCTTCTATGTTTAATGTTGGATGCTACATTTTTCTAGCATCTCTTTTGTTGTCAGAGGTTATTGACGAATCACTAGAGCTGACTGGAACAGTTCAGAAAACACTGCTCTTGATAGTCTGCAAACCCTTCCAGCAGATCACTGAGAGCTGAAAACCTGGCCCGCACCGTTGTGGCTCCGCAGAAGCGCCTTTCTTGAGCCACAGTCTCTTGCGTGAAGGGCCATTCTAAGCAGCAGTGCTGGGCAAGTCCCTGGGACTTAGCGCAGGCCGCCATGGACCCCACTGCCACAATACCACTCAGTAACCTCTCAGGGAGGACGCCCCACAGAAATTCCTCTTGGGCCTTGGGTCCTAAAAAGATGGGGATGCTCTGAACAACTGTATTTTATTTTATGGACCCTGGCTCTTTTTAAAACCATATTTCTTTCTTTGTCTCAGTATCCAAGAAGCTCAGAGCTGGAGTGAGTGGCCTGCCTTTAGCAAACACGTGGGACCTTTTAGCCTACCTTTCTGCATTTTTTGCAACAAAGTAGGGCAAAATCATATCCCATTTAGGGAAGGAGGAACGAGGCGCCCTCCCACACCTTTGACATGTTTGAGACTGCTGCTGGCCTTACTCAGGTGAGGCTCCTCTGAGGAACAAGCTGAGAACTCCTGCTTCCCTGGGTGTGGAAAGCACTGGGCCCAGGCTGTCCTCATGCTACAGTGGTTTGTGGGAGCCGGGGAGCCAGCCCTGGGTGCCCCACGGCTCTGTCTGCAGGCAGCTTGCTAGGGACGGTTGGCATCCCCGTGACTCATCCCCATCCATCTCGGCACCGAGGCAGGCTGATGTCACACCAGTCTGTTCTATTCTGAACACTTCTTCCTGGAAATGTTTTTACATCAGATCGACCCACCCAACCCTCATCTGCTGGGTGGGAGCTTTCCACCCCGTGGCTGTCATCCTGCCAGACGGAACGTCCATCTGTTGTCCTGCCCACGAGCTGACGGGCTGGGCTGTTTTCACTTGGCTTCAGAAGGGGCCTGACTTCCTGGTGTAACAATACTTCTTTACTTCAAATGGGCTCGTTCCGTCATTCGTCAAAGACAGCGTGCCGCCATGGGCCCGGTGCTGTCCTCGGGGTTCTTGGAGGGAAAGCTCATCAGAAGGCTCCAGTGTATCTTAGGTTCCAGCTCCTCTTCTCCACACACTGGCAGGACAGTGACCCGTGGGGCACTGAAGACAAGAGGAGTGTAGCAACGGCCAGTCTTTGTGCCCAGACTGGGCTTCCCCTCCTGACATGCGACACAAGCCAATGCAAGTCTTCTGGCCTTTTTGGTAAAATAAGTGGTGGAGTCTTCAAGGCTCATTTTGTTCCCAAGACCTGCCACTCTTGTCCTATCATATTTGCTGCCCTGCCATCCATTTGTTAATTCGACAGACATTTGTCAAAGGCCACAATGTGCTAAGCATATTCTCGACACAGGTCTGGCTTTCAAGGCATTTGCAGCCTGGTGAGAGAAAGAGGCCTGCATGATGGAAGGAAGCTAAGACACCTGTGGGAAGGACACCTACTTTAATTTCATATGACGCTTTGCAAGTCTGGTAAAGACACCGTGAAGCTCTTTTATGTGAAACACTAATGAGTGCGTATATGTGTACAAGAACAATACAGGCTCGCTGATGTACAGCTTTAGAAAACATACCCACATACCCCTAGCCCCCATTTAGACTGAGCACTGACCTCAGATTTGAGGTGTCCAAAAGGGGACTTATTTTAAGTACCCCTGTGCTCCAGCATCAATGGCCAGAAGATGTCACTGCAACCCATCAGAACCCAGCCAACGGGGCTGTGGCCTGAGGACCTGCCAATTCCGTTCATCAGAGGCCTGATGGCCACGGATGAAAGTCTAACCAGCGAGGATACTACAGAAATGAGGCTTAGCAGGGCCTTGGCAACAAGCCCGAGAGCCAACCAAGGTATCCTCATGCTGCATCTTGGGTCCTTACTTGATCAACATATGGTTGCCGGAGGCTGTCATTGCATTGAAAAGTCTCGGCCGGTCCTGCTATCGCTAATGCTAGTCTGCAAGCGAGACAAGTAAGAAATCGCTGACTTGGAAACAGAGGCAAGTGGCTGGGGCCGCCAGAGCAGAGGTGGCAGGGCCGTTCTCGAGGCTGTCAGAGACTCCAGGGACTCAGTGTACTGGGGCCACCACTCCCATGGGCCCCACTTCTACCCACCCCGCCTTCCCTCCTGCCAGCTCTCCAGCACCCCAGCACATGGAATTAGCAGAGGTCACGTCACCTTCCCACATGAAGCGGGGCTCAACGCCCCAGTCTCCAAGAAGAGCAAGGAATACTTTGCATTAAACCAGTTAAGATGGAACTAGGAATCTTCTGTGCATCAAAGGGGCACACTGACATGCGCTGATCAACGCTGTGAGGTCACCATGCCTCAGGACTGCTGGCCCGCACACGGGGTCAGAGCCCAGGGCAGGGCCGGCGTGCAGAGCAGAGGTCCGCACTTCCAAAGCCATTGTGTACAAACCTGAGTCAGGAGGTCTGAAGCTCAGGACGACGGCCCTGAGATGTATTTTTATCCTCTCCTGATGGAGCCAGTCTCCACTGGGAGGTCCTGATAGCAAGAAGTGGCATGTCACCTTTCCCTAGTATGTGACTTCCACTCAGGGTCCAGTACATCTGTCCCCAGCAGGTGCTGGCCAAGCAGGAAGCCTGTGATGCAGACACTCCCATGTGGTGCAATATGCTGCCAGCTACACGAGGGCCTTGGGATTGCTCGTTTTTCTGGGGATTATAAATTCCAGCAGTCTTTTATGAGGCAGAGACACAGTGTGCTGGACTTGAATGAATTTTACTTTACAGCAGCATTCTGGCCGTGCACTCCCGCAGCACCCTTTATTTCAAACTGAACGAATTTGAGTCTCACCTAAACGGTTAGCAGAATTACACCCTTACACCCCTCATGAAACCTTTAAACCTAGAACTCACTAATTCAGCCCTGTCCTGGTGAAAAGCAAGGGTTGATGCTGATGGCTTACAAAGCACCTCCCTATACACGGCCTTCCTCAATTTCTAGAATGTCCAAGGGAGCACCGCTGTACCCATTTTGCAGAAGAGGAAAAACAGGCTCAAGCAAAGCAAAGTGTCTGGCCCAGGAAGATACATGATCCGTGAGGTGGAGTCGGACTCTGACTCTCCTAAGCCTCAGCAGGACTTTGTCCATGAGGCCACAGCTGCCTCTAAAAGGGACAGGCTTGGTGCGCCTGGGTGGCTCAGGTGGTTGGGTGTCTGCCTTTGGCTCGGGTCATGATCCCAGGGTCCTGGGATCGAGCCCCACATCGGGCTCCCTGCTCGGCAGGAAGCCTGCTTCTCCCTCTCCCGCTGACTGAGCACTGACCTCAGATTTGAGGTGTCCCACTCCCCCTGCTTGTGTTCCCTCTCTCGCTGTGTCTCTCTCTGTCAAATAAATAAAATCTCTAAAAAAATATAATAAAATAAATAAATAAATAAAAGGGACAGGCCTGACTCCGTGCTTGGGTTTCCATTTTCAAAGATTAGCAGACAACAGAATCAAGCTTTGGGAATTAAAACAATAATTTTCCTAACTTCTCTAAGTGAAGTTAGGCATGGGCTTTCCCATTCTGTCTTCTTTTCCTCCGAACATGAAGGGCCAGACCAGTGTGCACTAGTCAGAGATAATGCTATTGTTCTACGGAGATAACATACCCAGTCCTGCTGTGGCCAACAGGACAAGAACAAATTACTCCCAGTTTGGAACCGTCACACCTAGAGCAGAGGGCTTGGGGCAGAGAAAAGCATCTTCCCCGTGCCGGGACAGGCCGCAGGAGCCCCGAGAACCTGCTAGTACCTCGGCAGGAGTGGTCCATCTTGTTGAACTGGAAGTAGCCCGACTTGCACTGACACAGGGCGACCCCGTCCAGGTCGGTGCAGATGGAGGTCTCCTTGTCACATTCCGGAGTCTTCCGCTTGCACAGGCTGCCCGCTAGAATGGAAAAGCAAGACGGTGACATAAAACAAACGCTTCTCCACTTCAAACCCGAAGATGCATGAACTTTCTATTTAAAGAGGCTCTGAGAACAGTTTCCAAAAAGCCTGCCTGGTACAAGACTCCTTTTAGAAGCCCCTTTGGAGACCCCTCCGCCATTCCTTCCCTGGCTCAGCCCCCAGGCCCCCGGGGCCCCAAGCATGCCGTGGGACAGAGAACCCAGACAGAAGAAAGGGCGTGCTGTCCCCGACTCCAGCATCCACCGCAACCCCGGCCCCGGATGCCGTGCTCTCTGCCGTGGCTGCCTGCTAAAGCGCCGCAGCGGGAGCCAGCACAGAGCCGGGAAACGTCACCATGCCCTGCTTAGGACTCGGTGAGGCTCAGACCTGTCTCCAGTGGAGGCTGTGTCTGGGTCTGCTCTGAGTCTGCGGCCTGAAGGGAGGCCATGCACTCCCGAGACAGGGTAGCCTGCCGCCCACGGATGGATTCCCAGGGTCGGCACGGCAGATCATCTGCTGCCCCAGCATGATGTTCTTTAATTATGTTCCCTGGCTGTCTCCCCGCCGCACTGGCGGGTTTTGGGGGCCTTCTTCATCTCGGGGGCTCCATCACCTTGCCCAGAGATGGTGACACACGGCGCTCAGTACATGCTCTGAAGGTGCTGTCGGGCTGTCAGTCTACCAGGCTGTCACCACGGAAGGCAGGTGTGGGCAGAGGAGTGTCTCTTTCAGGCTTGCTACCTCCTTCTCTTTAGGGCCTGACTTTCTACATGTTAATCTACTTGGCTTGTCCAGCTCTGGGCACGTGGGCCGTGCTCCTGTCACGGGTGACAAAGAAGTATTTCCTTTTTATCAAAAAGCATTCATTGTTGGGCATGTGGCCCTCCCTGAGGCTGCATACAGTAGACCCTCTCTGTATGTATACACGAGACCTGACGAGGGTACGCTTACTATCTAAGACAGGCCCGACAAAAAGACACATGTAAGTGGGGTACACAGTAGAACAAAAATAGGCAACTAACTGGATAGCGAACACTAATGTCTTTACAGGAGGGGGAAGGGGAAGGCAACGCTGAGATTTGCTCTTGCTGCCGGGAGGTTAAGAGCAAGTTCACAACCAGGAGAGGCCACCAAAGGGCAGTGCGTGTATATAGTGCAGGGAGGCATGTTTCCCCTCTCCCACCTTAAGGAAGACACCAATGCGTGCAAAAACCAGGAGTCAGCTCTTATCACAGCACAGCGGCCCCCACCGTAGTGATGTGAGCTGACACCCACTCGGGGCCCCCGCCTCCACCTCCTTTTCTGAGTCCCGAGGGCTTGGCACCTGCTGTACGGCCTGGTCACAGGGAGGTAAGTTTAGGACACAGCTTTGGTTTTCAACACTGCATTTCCTGTCTTTATCATTGGAAGCTGGCGTGCTAAAGCAGAACTCTATTTGTGCGTGTGATAGAATTTCCTTTGTTTATTGTGAAAAGTTGGTATTTAAGCGAGAAAAATTAAGAAAATGGAAAACCTCACCAGGCTTGCTGCAAAGCTGGCACTGCAGAGGGACCAACCCCCTCTGCCCCTCCTCTAAACTTTTTGAAGGCTTTGCCAATCCTCAAGCTTTAATATAAAGAAACACTTCTGGGGCAAAAGGCTGGTGCTGGCCTTGTCCAGCAGCCGGCCTGAGTTGCCTGGCCTGATTAGATATTTTCTGGAAGCCAATGTCACATTTTCCTTCCATCCTGCCCATTAATCCAGCCTGCTGGCAAATACTACTTGCCTGCTAAAGCAACCCTTCCCTGCACAGAAGCAAGGAAAGTTGGCCTTGCCTCTGCAACAGAGGAGTCGCTATCCTAAAAATCCTTAGAGAACATTCCGTCACAAATCCACCAAATGCAACCATGTATAATCCCATTTTCATTTTAAGCCTGGCAATGTGATTGTTCTACATCTACAATTCCCATGGTCGTTCCTGGGCATAACATCCGCCAGACAGACAATGAGAACTTATGCAAACCCAAGGCTGAGACACTCCCTGGGGGATTGCCAAAGACTCTAAGCCTCCGGAGGCATGAGAACTGTAGTTCCTTGGAAGGTGAGGAAGTGGAGGGTCCAGTAGCCCAGTGGGAACACCCAGGTGTTGGAACATGACAGCCCCTGCTTATCAGAGCCACCTCTCTCTCACTCAGAAAGGGAGGCAAGACAGAGCTGGGTATGGACAAGAACCTGAAGAACCGGGAGCAAAACCAGAAAAGTGAGCCTGTTTTCAGCCAAGGTGCATGGCTGCCTTTGTTTTCAAGGGCTCTGAAAAGGGAGGTACAGAATGGGGACTAGCACATGTCGGGGCAGGGGAGCAGATGAGAAATCTCTGGCCCTTCCTCTCAGTTTTGCTCTGAACCTAACACTGCTTTGAGAAAATAAATAAAGAAAATCTTAAAAAACAAAACAAATGGGGCGCCTGGGTGGCTCAGTCGGTTAAGTGTCTGCCTTCGGCTCGGGTCATGATCCCAGGGTCCTGGGATCGAATCCTGCATCAGGCTCCCTGCTCAGCGGGGAGCCTGCTTCTCCCTCTCCCACTCCCCCTGCTTGTGTTCCCTCTCTTGCTGTGTCTCTCTCTGTCAACTAACTAAATAAAAAATCTTTAAAAAACAAAACAAAACAAAGAATGGGACCTCGGCAAGGAAGCAAGGAAGCTAGGGGCTTCCCCATAGGCCACATCAAAGCAGTAGAAAGAATGGGGTCGGAGAGTGGGCACGGCTACTTCTGAGCAGGATCTTACCAATCCAAGTATGTGGCCACTTGATTTGCAAGACATGAAATGCATTTACTAGGGACATAAAAATAACCTGGTACAATGTTGACCGCAAAGGAGGTACTCGAAGTATTTAGTGAATTGGAAGGTCCCCTTCTTACTCACTGGGGAGGAAAAACTGGGACCTTGGAATCACTGGCAAGAGAAACAAAGGAAAATCAAAGAGCTCTTGCCTCGAAGTTGAGAGCACGGTATAATGGGGCATAAACTTAGTTAATTCCCCAGTGATGCTAAATGGCATCCACTTCAGTTCCAGAAGGCTTAGCTTTTCCCCCAGATGAATAACAGCCTTACAATGAGCTAAGGCTACAGCGTCTACGATAGGGTACAGGGTTAACCCCAGCTCCCAGGCTCTGCGGTGCATAGGGCCACGAAGAGAGCCCTCTGGATCAGCACTCAGAAAGCCCTGAGCCACTGGGAATGTCCTGGATCTTCCAGCAGATACAGCACCAAACCTGCTCCCTGCAACTTCCATCAGCGTCTGGACACCTGATGGGGAGGCTCACAGATTCCGCATCCTTCGCTAGTCCTGACTGTGTAGCACAATTTGCTAACCGGAGCTCACTTTGATTATTGACGAGACAGCAGCAGGAATAAGCCCCTTTTTAATTCTAGCTAAGTTTTCCCATCCCAGAGGCAACACTTCCTCTCCAAGACCCAAATTTGCCTTATGAAGTTGTTGTCTCTAATCCCCTTTTTATCTGCTTCATACATAGATGTACTGCAGAAGCTTTGACAAAACAGATAAAGCATGAACAAGAAAAGAGAAATCATCACGAATGGCACCATGAGTAGAGTCTGGCCTACATCATTCTGGTCTTATTTCTGTGCATTGATAATTTGCAAACAAACACACAAGATGAGTAACACTGCCCATGGTTTTTTGTTTTGTTTTGTTTTTTATATGATGGAGATTTGGGGTATTGATAAGCATGTATATTCTGTGTGTGACTTTGTCTCCCCAGAGAGAGCTGGAACTCTTCAAGGTCAAGAAGAATGATTTCATTTTATCAGCTCCTGTATCCCTTCCCACACCAATGAAGTCCGGGAGAAAAGGAGAGGCAGTGTGCCAAAGACCAGGGGACTTCAAGGCTGTGTGTGGGGGGGTGCATGTACATGGGTACAAAGGTAGGGACACATGAAGGCCTTTCGCTTGACACACATTTCTTTTCTTTTTCTTTTTTTTAAAGATTTTATTTATTTGACAGAGAGACACAGCGAGAGAGGGAACACAAGCAGAGGGAGTGGGAGAGGGAGAAGCAGGCTTCCCGCTGAGCAGGGAGCCCGATGTGGGGCTCGATCCCAGGACTCTGGGATCATGACCTGAGCCGAAGGCAGACGCTTAACGACTGAGCCACCCAGGCGCCCCATCTTTTTCTTTTTTTTTTTAAGGTAGGCTCCACACCCAGCATGGAGCCCAACACAGGGCTTGAACTCATGCCCCTGAGATCGAGACCTGAGCCGAGATCAAGAGTTGGATGTTCAACCGACTGAGCCACCCAAGTGCCCCTCGCTTAACACCCATGTCAAACACAGACTGGCTCTGTGATGAACGTGTTGAGCCTGAGCCCCGAGTGCCTCTGTACCTAACCATATGGTTAGGGTCCTCCCAGAGGGCCGTTCTTTACCTTTAAAGATCCGCCTCTGAGATCCCAAGAGCTGGCAGACCTCAGCAGAGGACCTACAGGAGTTGACACATTTCTGCATCCCGTCAGCCAGGTCAAACAGCGTCACGTTGGAGGCCAAGGAGAAGGTGGTTTGCAGTGACATGACCACTGCACTGGGCTCCCTGTTGGCGAAGTGTGTAGGTTTTTAATTGTCCTAAAATGACATGTGGGCCCAGGGCTTTTGGAAAATGAATGCATCTCCATTCTCCAGGAAGGGAATGGGAGAGCATGGAGGTCCAGTGACCTTGGCCCCAGGGTCACTCTGTGGCTTGGTCAGAACAGGGCCCAGTTTTGTTGCTGTTGCCTATGTTATAACAGTCTCCCCTTTGTATAGATTGGTTCATGAGTGTAATTCCGTTACTTACCTAGAAGCATAAACTGTGGATCGGGTATAACCAGGTAATGTCGAAAAACACATATTTAACTGAAAGGAAAAACAGGTTTGTTGGTAATTGTGAGTTAGATAAAAGCCTCAGACCTAGAACCGATTTCCTATTTTCAGGATAAAACAGGCATTTTCCAGCCACCAGGTTATCAGCAGGCAGCTTTACAGAGCAGTGGTGTCCTTTTTTTGTTCCCTTCTTAAATGCCTCCCTGCTCTTGTTCTGTTGTTTCCCGAGTACAAAGGGAGAGAGGCAGATAGTAAATCAGTGGGGAAAATCTTGGCAGGAAATGATGTTCAGAACAGCACCCTTGGATGCAAAACATCTTCAAAGGAACAGATCTCTCCTAAGACCCAGGGTTTCAAAAAACTGAGAGGCAACTGTTTATTTGGACTTTGCAGAGTGAACAAGCCTCACTGAAAAGGCTTCAGCTACCCCAGGTCTGGCAGGCCCGACGCAGACCCCTCACAATCTACAGCGGGTTGACCTAGCTCAAAGATAGGTCCTCTTCAAAAAGGCTCTCCATGGGAAATCATATTACGTGGGTCAAGAGCCCCTTTGTTGAGAGCAAATTAAGGGTGACTCTCCCTGTGTTTGCCTTGTGCCCTCAGAGAAAGCAGAAAACCCCTCTAGGGCATAAAGTTCCATGCCTGCTTTTCTGTTCCCCCAACAGTAGGGGCTGGGGACCCTTTCTGGGCAGCAGAAGGTCACAACACCTTGACCTATGCAGATGTGCCTGTCTTCAAAGCCTGTATGTCAGGCACACTTGATTCTTCACAAGATGGATTCAAACATGGGATGTTATTAAACCCTTTTCGGCTTTGTGTGACATTGCTCTACATTCCAATGGGCAGTGATGTATTCGTAGTATAATGATTTAAACTTTTTTTTTCCCCAGGGAAAAAGAGAAAAGTCACATTTCAGAACAGAATGTCACCTTAGGGAAGACTACTTAAATGGCTTCTCTAGTCACTGCTTAAATCTTCACTATTCTTGGGAGTGGGGATGTCACATCACTAATAAATTATACATTCATACTAGGTGAAAATGAACAAGGAAGGACTGCACCTCTGTGCAGGGTTCGAAGCCCCTGCATGAAGCCCCTGCATGACCCCAGAAGGAAATACTGACATACAGCACAACCAAGAGGCAGATGGACTGCAGTGACAATGCCAGGTATAGCGTTAGTAGACATAATATCCTGCTGTATGGTAAAGAATTTAACCTTGCCCAAAGAGAAGTCCGGCCCTTGGCTTCCAGGAGGTAATTAATAAGCTTTTGGAATGTCCTGCCTTTGTCTACCTGGAGACCCTGGGCTACTCCAAATATCTAACAACGTAACTTATGTGGGGGCTTTGGGTTACATGGTATCAGCCTGACCTCCAGAGGGACTGGAGACTGAAGTCAGCCATATGAGCAGTTGACTATGTTCACATATTGGCTCTCAACGCCAAGGCTCAGGGGAGCTTCACTGTTCAGCAATACTCCATGAATATTGTATACATCATTGACAAGAGGAGTTAACACGGTACGGGACTCCATGGGGAAAGGACAACTAGAAGCATCAAATTTGGAATCCTCCTTCACTCTGCCCTATGTGTGTCTCCCATGGCTGATTGTAACCTGGACCTTTTCACTGTAATAAACCACAACGATGAGTTTAACAGCTTTCCATGAGATCTAAGTCCTTACAGTGAATTATCAAATCTGAGGGTGGTCTTGGGGATCCCCAAACTTGCAAATGGTGTCAGAAGCGAGGCTGGTCTAGTGGACTGTTCCCTAACTTTGCACCTGCTCTGTGTGAACTCAGGCAATGTCATTAACTTTCAGGGCCTCCTACTCTTCTAGCTGTAAAGGCACTGACAATACCTCTTACAGGAGTGAGGCATCTGGCAAAGCGCCTGTCATAGAGTAGATGCTCAGCTGATACAGAAATGGAATTAGAATCTAAATTTTACACAAATAAAATCTACAGTCCTATAAAACCCTACAGGTTTTGGCTAATATACTCTTACTCATAAAGAGCAAGTAAAATTGAAATTGGAAATCAATTAATCTCTACAACTTATTTTAATGGCAATTTTTGATGTTCTGAACACCAAATCTTAGTCTCAGGTAGCAGATGAGAGGTAAAATTTACTATCGAGCTTCATTTTCGTCTCCTTTCTTTTTTTTTTTTCTTCCCCTGACAAAAAGAAGAAAAGAGGGAAAGAAGAGGAATCAAGGCCTCTAGATAATCTATGCAGTGAATTCTCAACCCTGGAAAATCAGGATTAACTGTTATGCCTTTGGCATTGCCCTGAGGAAAAAGAGCATCCTTCTCCCCAAGTTTGGAAACACAGAGAGAAAGTCACACAGCATGTCAACTGCAGATGGGATAGGAGGATTTTCTGGATCTTTCCTCATCACCAATAGTTCTTATTGGTGCACAGCATCTAACCATCTGTGACTATGAGTCTGCACATGAAAAAGGTAAGGGCTGCATGTGAGGGCACATGGAAGAAACGCCTCTATTGGGCACCAGTTGTTCTCAGCACCTTCCTTCTATGTCCAAGAAGCTTTTAATTTTACCATGAAGTTTACCTTCCAAATATAATGGAAATGAACATCCTAGGAAATACAGCTGATTCCCATGAGGTTCCCAATTCTGAATGAAATCTGTTCTAGAAAACGAAGGACTTGAAGAAAGATGCCTTTCAGGAAACTTACTGTTTTGGTGATCTCATTTTCAACTTCATGTAGGTCTGCCTGTTTCTCCACGGTGGTATTGAGAAATGTTTTCTTTAATTTGAACTCTGTCACGAAGGTTCTAACTGAAAATGAAAACATAACCTGTTGGACACGCAACAGGCCGACCCACGTATGGCTGTGTGTTTGTGAGTCTCTGGTGTATCACTCTTTTTTTTTTTTTTTTTTAAAGATTTTATTTATTTATTTGAGAGAGAGAATGAGAAAGAGCACATGAGAGGGGGAAGGGTCAGAAGGAGAAGCAGACTCCCTGCTGAGCAGGAAGCCCGATGCAGGACTCGATCCTGAGACTCCAGGATCATGACCTGAGCCAAAGGCAGTCGCTTAACCAACTGAGCCACCCAGGCGCCCTCTGGTGTATCACTCTTTACTGCACCTCGCAGGACAGTCTTGGTGCATGTCTTTCTCCTTGAGGGTAGAGAACACCTCTCCCTCTTCTAGCTCCCCTCTAGGAAGGTGGGCATCCACTGAGCTGGGCAGGAGGCTCGGACCGAGTAAAAGTTTGAGTGAGAAACTCCAAGGAGCCTTCTGCAAGTGTGTGTGGGCTGCTGTGAGAAGCCACCCTGACCCCTCTCTAATGGCCTCCTACATAATCAATGCTAAAGTAAAGCTGTGACAAAGAAGAAAGACCAGCTGGCTTAAATGACATAACCCCAGGAGGAGGGGAGGGGATGTGGGGTCAGGCCTGAGAAAGCTCTCGACAAAGCAACAACTCTTGTCCTCTAGGCCCACACTGTGAAGCCCTCAGCTTCAAGGGCGTGCTTTGGTTTCCTCTTCTGGTCGGCGTCACCCCACCAGCCCCCGCCCCTCTCGCTCAGAGGAAATGCCCATTTTATCACTGATGAAAGAGACTTCCAGAAATCAGCTCACTGATTCAGGACAACCGAGGGGCTATGGAGGAAGGTGCCAAACATCTGTGTTGGGCCGACACTCTGGAGGCTGCCAGGCCCCACGGTCACAAGACAGGCAATGCAAATGCCCCATAGTCAAGATATTGTTGAGTGCAGGCCTGAAAGAAAGCAGCCTGGCTTTCAAGGCCCATTTCGCTCATAAAATAAACTTGTATTTAACATCAATTTGTGCTGATGGGGCCTGAGGGGGAATGGAACTTACAAATGGGCAGACGACCAAAAATTAGTATAGCCTGCTTTATATCTGCCTCTTATCTTCCTTTATGTTAAATTCTTATCTTTCCCTCTGGACAGGGGAAAAAAACAAGACCCCAAACACAGGAACCACGAAGCTGCTCTTTCACAGAATGCTTGCCTGCTGAATTAAGAAAAAGGCCCACAAATGAGCCAGGGAACACATTTAACATCTTATACTTACTGTCTAAAGCCCTTAATCCTTATTTAACATCTTTTTGCTCGTTCTACAGTTCAGTGAAGCCAGCTGCTCAGGTCTCTTGCTGAGCAGCAGGGAGCTCTTTGAAAACATTCTTGGCCAAATGAAAGCATTTCAGCATGCTCTAATTTGCATGTTCCTCTGATGTTTATGAACAATGAAGCTAAATGACTTGAAAAGGGAAAGATGATTGTTAACACAAAAGAACGGCTCTCCCCCTGATCCACGATGCCTGGGGGACCCTCAGCACACAGGCTTCCAGAACCACCACCCCGCTCCTTCATCTTCCCTTCTCCCCGGTCCAGGCTGATACCCAGACTCTCTGGATGGAAATACACATCTCGTAAATGTTAAGTACACAGACCTCTTCCAAATCAGGACAGTAAATGTGGTCTCTGCTTTTAGGCAGCTGTGAAGATGGCATCACATCGCGTCCCCCAGCCACTGCACCCTGCCCAGCACACAGACATCTTCGTGCCTATCTTACCTCACCTGGCTTTATGGCAATCTTCTACTTCACATTCAACTGTGGATTTACATAGGCTATAGATATGATTTTTTAAATTATTTACTTATTTTTTGTTTCATTAAGCTTTAAATTCCAATTCCAGAATAAGGAACATACTTATATGAGTTTCAGATGTACGCTACAGTGATCGAACAATTCTGTACATTACTCAGTGCTCATCAGGACAAGCGTGCTCCTTCATCCCCATCCCATCTCCCTCCTCCCTCTCACCCTCTCCCCTCTGGTAATCACCAGCTTGTTCTCTGTAGTTAAGAGTCTGTTTCTTGGTTTGTCTCTCTCTCTTTTTTATATAAGTGATTTTTTTTAAAGATCCATGATTATTACTTTGTATTCAGGGTACCTAGTGTTTTCATTGCTTTCAATTCTGGTCCAAGAGGTTGGGGACCAAATGTTAAATGATACCTCCCATCTGGAGAACTCTACCATTTTCAAAGCTTGCTCAGATACTTTATTTTATTTGATCTTCACAATAACCTTGAGTGGGAAGCAGAGCAGGTGGTAATCTGATTTTACAGATGAGAACATTGAGGCTGAGGAGTCATGTGCCGTAGCTGGTGGCTCTGGAGCTGGAAGCCAGGCAGTGGGGTTCCTGGCAGGGGCATTTCCCCCACTGCTTCAAAACAAAATCATCCCAGCTCCTCCATTTTTTTTTCCCCCCAAAGATTTATTTATTTATTTGACAGAGAGAGACACAGCAAGAGAGGAAATACAAGCAGGGGGAGTGAGAGAGGGAGAAACAGGCTTCCCGCTGAGCAGGGAGCCCGATGCGGGGGCTCGGAAGGCAGACGGCTGACGCTTAACGACTGAGCCACCCAGGCGCTTCTCCATTCTTAAACCAAAGACTCCTAGCTTATTTCTTCCAGGGTGTAGCTAAATGGAATAGGTTACCCAAAAGCAAATAAATTATTAGAGAAAGAGGAATTATTGATTTTAACAGATGTCTAGATTCCTAGATTTTCTTTTTCTTTAATAATGCTTTGACTTGATCCTTGTATTTTAAGCAATTTCCAAAATTCTACCATTATTTTAGTAGGGTACCAAGTGTTTGAAATAAATTTTTAGGCCCAGGATGGAGCTGCTCCTGCCCAGGGCGCCACGTCGGCAAAGTGAACTTTGAAGTTCTGTAAACGGTCCCCAGGACCAGAAACATAATGGATTCAGTCAGCCAAGCCCCCAACACCAAGTCACCTCTGGGCTCCGTACTTACTCCCTTGTCCTTGGTCCTTCTAAATAAGGTCAGATATGCAACCCTAGCCAATAAGGCCCTGTTTCAGAAGTGATGCGGCTTCTAACGCTCTACCAAACTCATCCTAACCCAAACCCCTCAGGCAGAGAGCTCCACTGCCCAGGAGGCCCCAGACTCCCCCAGGCCACAGTGGTTCTCCCTTAAAAAGCACATCAAACTCATTACCTAACCGTTTTGGTTTTGTCATCTGACACAACCTTCCTAAAATATCTGATGATTCCCCTCCCTGTGGGCAATAGGAATTCATGCAAATAACACTTTTCAAAGGTCACAGATATTTGTTTTCTCAAAAAGATATTTCCTGAGCACTTTTTGTATGTTAACTATCACACTGTTCAATTGAAGATGATTCAAAGACGAGTCATTTTACCTGCCAGTTTCCTTATGAGCTTAGCTAACTCTATGTTCTGCACTTCTCATTTCTTCAACAAGTTATGTCTTGAACTCAGCACTCTAAAGCAGGGTTTGACCCTGTGTGCAAGGAAGCTCTTATGACGAACACATTATTACGTGATGAGAGCTGTGGGCTGGAATGCAGCCTCTCAGCAAACAGGTGCATAAACTTGGCCACTTAGCACCTCACCAGGACCTTAGTTTTCATTTGTGTTTGCTTTTTAACCTGCAAATTGGAGATTATATCTAAAAATCAACCAGCTTCAAGACTATTAAATTAGATAATGAAATAGGACAAATTGCATGGTCCAATTACAGCAGCTTTAGAAAAATGTATCTGCCTATGAACAGGACTGTGAAGATCATTTTTACAAATGAAAAGAATGTGTGAATGTGGTAGGATAATCAGGGTTTTATTCTCTCTTTTTTCTCCCTAAAAAAAAAAATTTTTTTTTTTTTTTTGCTATGTACTTAGAAGATCCCTTTGATATATATATTTTTCTAACTGCAGGGTGGAATGGTTAGGCAAATGGCGTTGTGCACAAATAATGGCATGTCCGTGTGGTCCTTAGGAAGTTTGTATAATATTTTTAATAACATGGAAAAATGTGGGGCGCCTGGGTGGCTCAGCTGTTAAATGTCTGTCTTCGGTGGGCTCAGGTCATGATCCCAGGGTCCTGGGATTGAGCCCCACATCGAGCCCCACACTGGGCTCCCTGTTCAGTGGGGAGCCTGCTTCTCCCTCTCCCTCTGCTCCTCCCCCTGCTTGTGTTCCCTCTATCGCTGTCTCTCTCTCTGTCAAAGAAATAAATAAAAATCTTTAAAAAAAACATGGAAAAATGTTTAAGATATAAAGTTTGTACAAATACCACATGGTTTCAACTACATAAAAATATAATGCACACTAAAAAAGATTGCAAATAAGGTGCTATATCTCTGAGTGATTGAAAATAGGCAGCAATTTCACTTCTTTCTATATTCCTTAAGTTCATACCTTGGACAAATACCCATTTTGTTTAGGGAGGAAAACAATAAACGTTATTTTAAAAAATATATTGTGGTGCAGGAATCATTCCAAGATAGATTCATTCTCTTACCCAAATTGCATATTCCTTTTTCCATCTGGTAGCCAACCGGGCATTTGCAGGTGAAGGATCCCTGAGTATTGTTGCATGTGGCCAGGGGTGGGCAGGGGTTCAAGAGGCATTCATTCACATCTGCAGAGGACAGAAAACCGGGCCATACTGAATCCGCGGCAGATAGCAAAATCACTATCTAGTCCAGTAAGCACTTACTAAGAGCCAAAGGGCACGAGGCACAGTGGGGCCCAGAGATAAGGAGGATGCTACCCTTGTCCTCGAGGGGCTATCAGTCTATTGAGGGTGGAGGCAGCCAGGTGTACAACTGACACTAAATATGAATCAGGATTTGAAAGTACAGAGAGAGTGGAAGATTTCGACGGAAGGGAGAATTAAGGACTGCTGCAAATAACATCTGAACTAAGACAGGAAAGACTCTACCAAGCAGATGCGGGGTGGGGGGTAGCCTGAGGCACCAGCGCAGTGAAGGCCAGAGGCAGGAAAGCATAGGGGTCTTTCGGGAGCTATAGAGGGTCCAGTGTGGCAGGGGGCAGGGAGCCCACAGAATGGAGCCAGATCACGGAGGCTTGTCATTGTTATTACCTGACGTTATTCTGCAGACAACACAGAAGCATGCTAACTCTCCAATCAGCAGGGCATTAATTTAAAAAAATCTTACTCTCCTACATTTTGAAGGGAAATAGTGTTATTGCCTATCTCAATGAGATACTGCGGTACAGACTACTGGAGATGACTTTTCCTCTTACCCACACTGCAGTCATCCCCTTGCCAGGAGGGTGAGCACACGCAGCGATACCCGTGGCCAGTAGGGTCCACAACGCATTTCCCGTCGTGAAGACAAGGGTTAGTGGCACAGCTGTTAACTAAGAACACATTCCGGGAATAAAGCAGTTAATCACATAGGAAATGTAAAGTGGCTCTAGGTAAATATTTAATTCTCCCAGCCAATATTTGATTTTTGCTTATTTCTGTTGACTTGCCCTGAAAGGTCACACTACTAAAATAGAGCAGGTTCCCGGGAGGTGCAGAAGAGATGCAGTGGGGACTAGACCCCGGCACTAGTCCGTGAGCAAACACAGGTGTTCAACAACTGGATCCCCGAATGCAAGAACGGGTTCAAATCTAAATGCTGCTTACGTGCTTACAGGTCGCTCGGTTCAGGACTGATGATTAGATTGTCTTTGACACTTAGAAAATGCTACTTGAAGCCTTGCCAATTTAAAACACATGTCAGGGGGGAAGAGGTCCCTGATTAACCATCCTCCCTGCTCCAGGATTCCCCCCTTTCCAAAAAAAAATCTCAAAATATAACCGGGCCTCCACATATGGTGCAATCATTTGGACAAACAATCGAAGTGGTGCACTCCGGTGCCCTCTCTTTCCATAGTGTGACAACGAGCAGAGACCACACTCTGGGTTTCGGTATCTAGAACCAGCATTGTCATGCTCCAGCTATGTAATAACTGCCTACTGAAGACTTCGGCCACATGTTCAGGAGAGCTGAAACCCACAACATAACTGCATCGTTTCCAAGCAGAAAAATCGCTGGTAGGAGGAGAAAGAGAAGGCAGAAGTCAAGAGTTGTAACGCCAAAAAAATCACCCCGAAAACAAATGAGCTAACCCTAAAGATGGTGTTCCTATTCCACAAGGCTACTTTACATATCCCTAAAATCACCTACCAGAGCACAGCACCTCCATAACCAAACACCGTCCCACAGATACTGTCAGAAAAACCATATTAACAGCCAGTCATGATGCTACTAATTCTCCCCTACAGTTATCGTTGTAATGACCATAATCGGCTTTAAGGGGGATTTGTGAATTATGTTCCATCTGGTACTGGAATATATTTGGCTGGAAATGAAGCTCCTCCTGGAACCCTGAAGCAGGGTTCCAGCCACCCTGGAGAAGAATCCACCTTCCATCTCTCAGAGGTGCTCGGGTCGCTGCACAAAGAGGGCAGGAGTGGTGATGGCCCTCCCGCCCTCCGGCTGGCCGTGGCTGACTGGTTGGAACTCGGACACTAACTGAGCTCCGTGCTCTAGTCACTACACAGCGTTCTCTTCTTTCCTCCTTCCTTAACGTGTCAGTCTCCCTATCCCCCCCTGCACCAAAGCAGTTTTCCTTTCCTGGGTCTGGACAAGCCAAAGGTACAATTCCGAACATGACATCGAAAGATGGATCACTCTAATTCCTTCTACCTTTCCTTAAATTACGAAGAGTCACGTGAATGGCTTTATTTTCCCCGTACCAGCCACTCCCACACAAATATAAAGATAAGCTCAAGGGCACTGTAAAGAAGCTTGGGTCACCCTGTCACTACGGGAAACTGTTAGTTCATCATCCTCTTACGGAACGTGTCCCTTTAACCTGCATTTGCCAACTTGCACCACACTCTCCGGAAGACCAAGGAGCCTGGGCTTCCCTTGGATCCAGAGAAGCCTTCCCTGCGACTGAGAAGCTCAGGGCTCTGACCTGGGAGCAGAGCATACTCACTCCGTGTCTCAGAAAGACCACCTGAAGCTTCTCGACTGCAGTGTTCCCACCGTCCGATCCCACATCACTGCCCTGCTCTGGCCTTGGGAGACTTTGAGGCACCTTAAAAGGCTCTTGCAATCTGGGGCACTGCAACTACAAGGGCGCTATCTACGGATGTCACACGCAGCCGATGGCATCTTCCCCTCTTTCTTTAGGCAGACTTCTGTAACTCACAGGTGAGAACACGAGGCCCACCATGACATTATTTGATGAGGTGACCTCACAGACACGGACCTACTGCAGCCAGCAGCCCTTGCCACGCGTTCCCACAAATCCCGAGCCTGTGCAGCCCACCGTGTGCTGGTGTGACCGCCCTTTACCTGAGGCTGGAGATGACAATGCTTTTGGCGACTGTGTGCTGCTCTGGGCAGCGACAGTGGTAGATTTAGGAGTCAATACTTCGGCCGTGGAAACGCCTGTGGTTGGGGGAGATGTTCTGAGGAAATGTGAAGCCGGGCTGTATTCTGTCATGCCAGGTCTTAGGGTCAATCCTTTTGCTGATGTGGGTACACTGGTGAGGGGGATCAACTGGCTGGTAGCATCTCCATGGACTTGGCTCCTTTCTGTGGTGACAGAGCTTTCTGTGGAGATCCGTGGTGCTGGGATTTCGGGGCTGGTTGGCAAGAGCTGTTTTTCAGCCGTAGTCTGTACTGTTGTGGGGTCAGCCATGGGAGCTGCTGTGGTTGACGCAGGGCTGAAGGGATGAGAGGTCTCAAGGACGGTGGTTGTCAAAGCTGGAGACGTTTGGGGTACGCTGGTGCTCGTGGCTGGGAGGGTTTGCTGAGTGGAGGACTCTGTTAAGGTCGAGGGCTTAGGGATCCCTGACGTAGATCTCACTGTTATAGCTTCAGGGGCCTCTGTGGGCAGAGACTCCGGGCCTGGTGGCTTTGATTCTGTAATGACTTTCTCATGGTGTGGGTGACTCTGGTTCTTAGGATCTGCTGTTTGACCGCTGGGGAGCATTGCCACAGATAATGCCATTGTCCCCGTCTGAACTGAAGTCACAGGGGTGTCTCTTGCCCTGGGCAGGACCAGGGTAGAAAGTGAAGGTGGTAGGGTTGTTTGGGAGGCAGATGGTGAGGCAGGGGCAGATGCTGTCAGGGACCCTGGTAAGGGTGGTGGTGAGGAAGACACTGGTGTGGGCGCATCGGGAGTGGACTGCAGTGGAAGAGTAGAGGCCCCGGTTGATGGTGAGATTGATGAGAACAACTGGTGGGACTGGGACACTGAGGGCAGGGGCAAAGGGGGCCCTGAAGAAGAAGAAGAGTCACCAATCGATGCAGCATCAGTGTCCAGAAGAACCAAAGTGTTGGACATGTTAATGGTGGGTGCGTAGGAGGGAACGTTGGCTGTGCGCAGACCCAGCGACTCAGTGGAAGGCTGGGCATACTCCCTTTCATAGGACGACACATTACTTCTTTCAGTCTGAGCCTGAGAAGAGGAAGAATAGTCTGAATGTGAAGAGTTCGAGATCTTAGTAGAAGAGGTAGAACTCTCCCTTAAGTCCGGGGAAGAACTGTTGTCTATAATGGAAAGTAACGCCCGTTCTCCTTTGGTGAAAGTAGATGAGACATAGGTGTGGTCTGTGTAGTCACTGGAAGTCCCCTGTTCCATATCCGTGCCACGCACTTGATTGTAGCTAATTCCAGTGACTGCAAATGGAAAAAACCAAAGTTAGGTCAACTCAACAAACAAGAAATCTCCCCAACACATATTAATGCTTTCTTTGGAGAGGCGGTTTTCGATGGCGAGCACTCTGGATGAGCAGTGTGGGCAGGCAGGAACGGGCAGAGTCTGTGTGGAGTCTATTTACCCTCCTGGGAGGACCTCGGGCGGCGGCAATAGAAATGGTAATAAAAGAGAAGTGGGGCCAGCGGCTGAAGAATAGGGAATAGGTCCAAATTCCTTCCACATGCCTTTTTTGATAAAAGCAAATTGGTATCTGAAAAGCTCTTAAGACCCCAACAGAACAATTGTTATGTCTAAATGGAAAAAGGAAAACCCTCCCAATTTTCCATTCTGTATAATGATAATGAGATATTTCTTTCCCAGGAGATTGGCTTTGGCCACAACTGGCTGGTCTCCTTTAGTCCAAGCATCCTGGCAGACAACATCACACATGGCTGAGGCAAGTGGGGGGAAGTGGGGGAAGCCAGAAAGTTCTCTTCAGACAGAGCTTATAAGGTACTTTCTGGGTTGACAGCAAACTTAATCATTCTAGGACTGGGAGTACACCGACAGGTGAGCTGAAGGACTGTGGGCAGAGATCCTGCTCCTCACCTCCCAGGGACGGTGAGGCCGCCAGTGAGCCCGAGACCAGGTGGGCGTCACCAGTCACGGTCACGTTCCCGCGTTGGGTGGCGCTCTCGGTTTCTCTGGGCACTACCACAGAATGCCTCACTTCCCCAGAAGTTGTGCTCGCGTTGGTGAGAGACCGCAGCGTGCGCTCTCCAGTTCCGGTGAAAGTAGCTGAAGTGTGCGGGTGGTGAGCCTGGGAAGTCCTCTCTTCCCCATCAGAACTGCCTCCGGGCTCCGGACCATCTTCAGTGGCTGCAAAGGGGATTGAAAGGGGATGGCCGGTCAGTACGGGGCTGGAGCGACAGCACCACGCAGGAGTCCCAGCAATGAGCCTCACTTCCCGCGCTAAGGTAGTCAAAGGGCTTCCCTGGCTTTTCCCGGGTCTTGATCTGAAACTCGCACTCGGGAAACCACGATGTGTTGCTTCCTGCAAACCCGTATCGTGACCAAAACCTCAGGAGGCCCTGCAGATCAGCACATCCGTTCAGGTGACCTGGACTGATGGGATGGTTTACTACTTCAGTGAACAGGATCATACTGTATTTCTGCTCGGTGATACATAACAGAGTTTATGTCAGGGAAACTGGTGGGGGGGGGGGAGGTGAATGCTCAGCAAAAGCCTAACCACCCCACGGGGGCTTTAGACTTTCTGATGAGGCCCAGGAGGGAGAACCCCCATTGCTTGTAAGGCTTTTTCCTCCTGGTCAGGCCTGAACTGACATGGGGCTTATCATTCTTTTAGAGTTAGTTCTTTCCCTTAACGCATCAATGAGAAATGCATGGTGGTTGGAAGTTAAAGATGGGCTTATTTTCTGTTCTATGTTATTTTTCTTCTTCTTTTTTAATTTTTTAAAAAAGATTTTATTTATTTATTTATTTGAGAGAGAGAGAGAGGGAGAGTGCACACACAAGTGCTCATGTACAAGCAGGTTGGGGGCAGGGAAAGGCAGAGAGGAGGGAGAGGGAGAGAGAGAATCTCTAGCAGACTTCCCGCTGAGACTGGAGCCCCACGCGGTGCTCGATCTCATGACCCTAACATCACGACCTGAGCCAAAATCAAGAGTCGGACGCTTAACCGACTGAGCCACCCAGGTGCCCCAATTTTTGTTTTCTTAATGCATTTATTTTCTTGGTGGGAATGGGACAGGTGACACATGAATAAATATCCTTTCCCTCCTTTCTTGGGTGTATGTTTTATGCTATAAGCTCAAAGACTCTTCTTATATTAGATTATCAAATAAATCCTTCTCAGAAATTATGGAAATGAGGTCCAACTCTTCCTGGCCTAAATACTCATAATCTGGTTCTATGAGAAAACAAGTTCTTTCCCTGGTTCTTATTCCTATTTCCAGACCAGACTAGCTCTTTTTTTTTTTTTTTTTTAGTTTATTTATTTAAGTAATCCCTACATCCAACGTGGGGCTTGAACTCATGACCCCAAGATCAAGAGTCACATGCTCTACTGACTGAGCCAGCCCGGTGCCCCCAGACTAGCTCTTGATACCCCATGGAAAACAGAGGTAAAGCTGCATGTTAGGTAAGCTCACTTCATGATAGGTTTTCATTAAGTGAAAGGAATGAGTGTGGGGACAGGGATACATAGTGACCTGGAGCAGTGCTGAGACAGCCAGGAAGCAGGGAGAGATGTGACCTGACCGGGCTGAAGGGCTTAAGAGACCCATGGGTCCACTAGGAGAGGCTTGAGGGCTGAGTGTATCTGAGCACAAGTCCCCTTGGGCAGAGGGGACAAGGCCTGGGCTGGGGAGATCATAAAACTCTTAAATGGAATTTAGGCAAACAACCCCATCAGGCTTATAGAGTTAAGAAAGTGGAGAGTCATGGCCTGAAACAGAGGGGCTGCATCCAAACCCAGAAAAAGGAACAAACCAAGAACTCTGAAAGGCTGGATGGCAGAATGAGTCCACTTTGAGTGATTCAGAGCAAACGAGATAAAGCATTAGGTTAACTGACAGTGAGTTGGTTTCGGAAATGAGGCTATTCCTTATCTGGCTCTTCATAACTGAACCCTAAGACCTGCTCACACATTTCCCACACAAACCAACTGAGCATGCACAATGGAGCGAAGGGTACTCGTATGGAGGCGATGCACACAGGAAAGGCAACAGCATCTAAGCTCCCAGTTTGAGAAGGAGAAAACGCTGAGCCCCACATTGTGAGGGTAGAAAATGAATCCTTTTGTCTAGGAGACAGATCATGCACTTTCCATGCACACACATGAAAAAGCACAAATATTCTCCACCCATACATGTGGTACTCTTTCATGATAAGCATATGTTTTTCCACATCACATCAGTAGTAATAAATGCTAATTTTCCTCATCAGTTAGGATGTTCATATGGGGGAAATGGAGCTGCTATTATCAGTGGTGGAGAGGTAAGGATTTAAGCCCATTATAAGCTTAAATGGTAAATTACTGCATTTTTGCTTTAGTCAGCACACACTTTACATTGACAAGGTGGCCGAGAATTGTTGACAAAATTACCCAAAAACATTATTAAAAAGGACCATCAAAGAAAAAGTGTTCTCAAATTTATAAAATTGGTCTTCATCAAAATTAAAAAACCTCTATGCTTCAAAAGATGATATTGTCAGAAAAGTGAAAAGAAAACCCACAGAATGGGAGAAAATGTCTGCAAATGGAATATCTGATAGGGAACTAGGGTCCAGACACTACAGGAAGAAACTCCTAACCGATTTTAAAATGGTCAAAAGATCTGAATAGACTTCTCCCAAAGTGAAAAGATACCCAACATCATTAGCTGGAAGATGGAAATCAAAACCACGTGGGATGCCACTTTACATCCATGAGGATGGCCATCATCAAAACAGATGATCCACAGTGAGTGCTGGGGGAGCCCCGAGGAACTGGAACGGAAAACAGTTTGATGATTCCTCAATGGTTAAAAACAGAGCTACCGGGGTGCCTGGGTGGCTCAGTCGTTAAGCGTCTGCCTTCGGCTCAGGTCATGATCCTAGGGTCCTGGGATCGAGCCCTGCATCGGGCTCCCTGCTCTGCGGGAAGCCTGCTTCTCCCTCTCCCACTCCCCCTGCTTGTGTTCCCTCTCTCGCTGTGTCTTTCTCTGTCAAATAAATAAATAAAATATTTATTATTATTTATTTATTTTTAAAAGATTTTATTTATTTGAGAGAGCGAGAGAGAGAATGAGAGAGAGAGCATGAGGGGGGGAGGGTCAGAGGGAGAAGCAGACTCCCCGCCGAGCAGGGAGCCCGATGTGGGACTCGATCCCGGGACTCCAGGATCATGACCTGAGCCGAAGGCAGTCGCTTAACCAACTGAGCCACCCAGGCGCCCATAAATAAACTTTTTTTTAAAAAACAAACAAACAGAGCTACCCTATAACCCGGCATTTCCAAGAGAATGTAAAACACATGTCCACACGAAAACTCATACTGGAACGTTCACAGTAGTACTGCTCATAATAGACAAAAGGTGGGAAAGCCCCACATGTGCAATAACTGATAAAAGGATGAACTCAATGTGACATATGCCACAATGGAGTATCAGCCATATAAAGGAATGAAGCACTGACAGAGACTACAACAGGGATGAACCCTGAAAACGGTATGCAGAGCGAAAAATACAGAAGGCCACAGGTCGTGGGATTTCGTTCACAAACTATCTAGAATAGGCAAATCCGCAGAGACAGAAAGTAAGTTAGTGGTTGTCAGAGGCTGGGAGGAGGAGAGCATTGGGGAGCGAGTGCTGATGAGCACTGGGTTTCTTTCTGGGGTGGTGGAAGCGTTCTGGAATCAGCGGCGCTGGCTGCACAATTCTGTAAGTATACTAAAAGCCACTGAATTGTACATTTTGAATGGGCAAATTGCATAGAATGTGAATTAAATCTCCATAAAGCTGCTTAAACAAGGGGGAGGGAGAGTTGCTCTTGAGGAATGTCTAGACCTGGGGTGAGCAACCACCCCTGAGAAGGTGATACTTCCACCTTCCAGAAGCTGTGTGATTGAGGCAGGTATGCGGGGCGTGGGGTGGGCTGCAGGGGATGGACGGACATGGACAGAGAAGTCTCCGAGCTGCATGTGGGAGGGGGGCCGGTGGCAAGAGCAGCTCCGGGGAGAGGTCCCAGAAAAAAAGTGGGGCTATACACTGGAAGAATGGCCTGGGAATGACGAAAGCAGAGGGGCCCCCAGTGGCTCCGTTACCGTGCCACAGAAAAGCCCAAGCCTCGCAGGCCCCTCCACCCTCCGAGGGGAGGCGGTCCTGTGAAGGGGAGACTCACTCAAGCGTTCACCACGTGGTGCCGAGGAATCCAGGCTCTCGGAGGAGGATGAGGACAAGGACTCGGTGGCCGGCTCAGCGGAGCTCCTATCGCCCAGCGCTCCGTCACTTCCTCTAGACTGGGGGGCAGAGGCTGAGAAGTGGGTCAAAACTGAAGCGTGCACAACTTCAGGATAGGAAGTAGAGCTTCCTGTCACATCTGCAAACGCCTTGCTCTTGGTCAAGAAGGAGCGCGCCGTGCTGTCTCCACTCCTGCCCGACGGGACGGACCCGGACACAGCCTCGGTCCGAGACACGGGGCTTCCATGCTCTGCCTCCAAGCTGCTGGCAAGCTCGTCTCCTCCCAAGGCTGGAGGGGGTCAGGGAAACAAAGGTCATGACCCGAATGTGAAAGATTCCCCAACAACCGAGATGTGAGTCCCTTCGTGAGAACTTTGTACAGTATTTATTACATGTGTAACCTGACAGGTACTTTCGTAGTTTGAATAATTATTTCGAATCTCTTCAGGGTCAATAGGATAGCAATACTAAAAAGCAGCGGTGGTGAAGGAGGGAGCTTTTATTTATTTATTTATTTATTTATTTATTTATTTATTTATTTTAAGTTCAATTTTTAAAAAAAATTTTTATTGTTATATTAATCACCATACATTACATCATTAGTTTTTTTTAAAATTTTTTATTCTTATGTTAATCCCCATACATTACATCATTAGTTTTAGATGAAGTGTTCCATGATTCATTGTTTGTGCATAACACTCAGTGCTCCATGCAGAATGTGCCCTCCTCAATACCCACCACCAGGCTAACCCATCCTCCCCTCTAGAACCCTCAGTTTGTTTTTCAGAGTCCATCGTCTCTCATGGTTCGTCTCCCAAGGAGGGAGCTTTTAAAGAGAATGAGTAGCTTACATGCTTGGGTGTTTTATTCTCTTTCCCCCAGAGTGGTCAAAGGACGGAGTGTGTTACGTCCAACAAATATGCTGTGCCTACATACAGTGCTTGCTCAGAAGCATTCTTCTCAAGCAATTCCATTATTAATAAAGGTAATTCAAATTTTCAAGTATAGCAAACCAAAAATAAACTGGAGGGCGTATACTGAAATGATGACTTTGGGGGAATATATTTCTATCTGCATGTTTTATTTGGGAGAATGATCTGTACGCAAACGAACCCCGGGCCGTCTGAAAGAGCAGGCCAGCTCTCACTCAGCACAATCCCGCAGGTGCTAAGAGGCCACCCACAGCACCGGCTCCGAGGCCAAGCGCTCAACTCTGCTGGGAACAGGAGACAGGACTGCGCCCTCACTTCTTCAACCCTCCGAGCCTTAGTTTCCTCGCCCATAAAAAAGCAGGAGGCGTGATGCCTTCTGACGAACTTCACAGTGTTCTCATAAGGATGAAAATCAAAACGTGGGATACCAGATAAAGGAGATGGTGCTAGCTAAGAACACATCTTTTCCTTTCTTTTTTTTTGAGATGGAAAATGGTCCTGAAGCCATCTTTCAAGACAATCCAACAGTTTTTAAATGTCCATAATAGATCAAGTAAAGATGAAATACTTACTTGGGGAATCATTTTGCCAGAATCCCACGGAGACCCTGGAAGATGCGAGGCCAAATCCATTTTCTGTGGACGGCTCAATGAATCCCCCATCCCCCGGATTCCTGATTACTTCACTGTTTCTTTGCAACCCTGCCTCAAAGTGTGAAGAATGGGCTGATACTGAAGTCCGGGCAATCTCGGAGTCCTTGAGGAAACTCTCTGTCTCATTTAGAGGCCACAGACTGATGGTTAAGGACTGGAGCAACCCTGGGACACCACTGGGGAGCGTGGTGGCAACATGCATACTCTCTGTCCGACTCGCCAAGGCGCTTGGGAGAACAGTGGAGTTGTTTAGCACCTCTGTGCTTCCAGAAGCTAAAATGGAAGAAAACATGCTTTAAGGCTACTCAAGGGTTTAAGAAAATCAGGGATGTATCTAGATACAAATAATGCTTATTACATTTTGTTGCATAAATCTAGATGATGTGGACCTAAATACAGATAAACACATCCGACATTCTCTCTCCCCGGGCTCATTCTCATAGAGCTAAGCAGAGAAGCGGTGAGGTCCTGCACCCAGCACAATGGAAAGCTTTGGCTCTAGCTGAAAGGAAGATGGAAGAAAGCCTCTAGACATTCTTTGCCTTGGTTTTTATAGAGGAAGGAAAAAACTTCTACTCTGGAATTCCAGCTTAGAGATTATACAGGGATAGGCCATTGTGATAAGGTACACGCTCTTGTTTTGTTTTATTTTAGCAATGTAACCCTTTTGTTCAAATGCTATTATAGATTAAAACCCATATATATAAATGAATAAAAGTAAGGCGGTTCCAGGAGCCCAGCCCCCAGGTCACCCCTGGGGAGGCCAGGGCTCTGCAGACCACAGTGAGAATAATACTAGCCTAGAGCAATCATTCCGGGCCTTGTCCCCATCAAGGGTTCTATATTCTTTATTATTCCCACCTCATGGCCACGTAAACCTGATGTTTTGAAAGACTATTAACCGGACCGCATTTAAGAAGTAACAGAGCTTCTAGTCAGCGCAATGTTACCCCACTGATTTATTTAATTCCATCCAAAAGCAAACAGGCTCCGTTATTATAGTCAGCCTCATTAGGCTTTGGAGACCGGCTCTCAAGCTTACGTACGACCCCAGTGGACCCCTGGGAGATCAAGGACTCCAGGTAGGGAACACTTTTTCTGATGAAAAGGATGGCAGACACTGGATTAATTGTCAAGAACCTCAAAAATTGAATTATAGGCCATTTTGGTAAAAATATGCAGTCTGTTCCACAGAAGTAAGGTGGCTTGCTGATGGCTCTCTTCCACGAAGAACTTTCCAAAGGACACCCTGAGAACTGGCCTCCGGAAGGGCACACTGACGTCCTCATTCCAAACAGGAATAAACCGCAGGAAAGTGTGGTGAGTGGGAAGAAACATGGCCGGCAAGATCCAAGGGCAAGAAAAAACATTTTTCTTTTTAAGCCAAAAATAATAAAAAGTACTCTACACCTTTATAATGAAAGGTTTCAAGCTGTTATTTATGACCTAGAAAGGGAAGAATTAAGTTCTCATTATAAATGGTCCCTTAAAGGGGCACCTGGGTGGCTTAGTCGGTTGAGGGCCCGACTCTCGGTTTTGGTTCGGGACCTGATCTCAGGGTCACAAGACTGAGCCCCGCATCAGGCTCCATGCTCAGTGAAGAGTTTGCTTGAGATTCTTTCCCCCTTCCTTCTCCCTCTCCCTCTGCTCCTCCCCCTGCTTGCACTCTCTCTCTAAAATGGATAAATAAAATCTTAAAAAAAATAGGTCCCTTGAGGTGCCTGGGTGGCTCAGTCGTTAAGCGTCTGCCTTCGGCTCAGGTCATGATCCCAGGGTCCTGGGATCGAGCCCCACATCGGGCTCCCTGCTCAGTGGGAAGCCTGCTTCTCCCTCTCCCACTCCCCCCTGCTTGTGTTCCTGCTCTCACTATCTGTCTCTCTGTCAAATAAATAAATAAAATCTTTAAAAAAAAAACAAAAGGTCTCTTGAAGACCAGTCCTATGTGCAGTTGTGACCAAAAGCGCAAATAAATATCAAATATAATTAGAGAGAGAGTGAGCACAGGAAACACAAAGGTTCCTCCTACTCTTGTACAAACCATGGAACCAGCTATACCTAGAATACCCTGCAGTTCTGCTCACTGGGCTTTAGGAAAGCAAAATGAAGATGCAAGCAATCCACACAACTAGTAATTGAAACAAAAAAAATAGACTGGACTCCAAAATAGAGTCCTAGCCTATTTAAACACACCCTTACTTAAAAACCAAACAAATAAAAATCCAGTAGTATAAAAAAAGGAATGCAGAATATAGATGTGCCCCAAGTCCTCACTAACCACCTAGCTTCTCAGGCCTGATGTCACTAGAATCATCATCTAAATCTGCCAACTTAACAACCGCATCAGTTGCTGGGTGCTCTTTCAAAGCATTTTTATTCCTAGCCAACTGCATTACTTCATCGATTCACGTACAGTGGCAGTTATTCAGGCAGACTCAGCCCGAATACCTGTATAGCAAATCAATGGCCACAGAAATACAATTACAGAAGTCACAAACACTGAAAACCACAAAAGGACAACAGCTATGTTGTCCCTGACCAAGGCTCTGTGGAACACTGCTTCATCATCTCACAGTCATTATTAAAAGCTGCCATTTACCGACCAAGTACGATGTGCCAGTATCTTACATACAACCTTATATGTTGTGCTAAGTAAGTACTTGATATACATAATCTCACTGAATCCTCACAGTAAAGCTATGAAGTAGTGAATACTTCTATCCAAGTCGTACCTCTTAACAAAAGGAGAGAATGGTTGGTCAAACTCATCTGCAGTCACCACTTACACTATTCTCCCTGCTGAATATCTAGGGGGAAATTTACCATGTTTCTAATCAACAGGCCAGCAATACTGGTTGTTTAATAACTGCCATCCCTTGCTCATTTCTACCCTTGAAGTCCCCATTCAAAAATGGGAAGACCATCCATTTGGGAGCAGAAACAAGCCAAGTTCCCTAATCTTTGTAACAGGAGGTAGGAAGAATGCCCACCCATCTGGTAAAAGTATATGGGTCACTCTCCAATCTCAACACAAAATGCTGGAACCTCAGGCATGCAGCAAATGCTCAACCTTGGCTTGAATGCTGTCCAGAACCTGCCAAAAATCTACTTGAAACAGCTGATAGTTGAGAAAGAATATGCTAAATCTACAATCTCCCCAGTTATTTATCCTCTCTTCCTTTACAAAGTGAAATCACCACAAAGCAATTTACCTGGACCACATTGGCTCCGCTATCCGTAGAAATACTTTCATGAGTTGAGATCCATTATTACACCCTGAGCTCCTACTGAGAGTCTATATAAAATATCGCCTTTTAAAGAACATTAGCACAATATCCTCAAAAGAGCATTTGGCGGCATTTTCTACTACGATTCTCAACATTCCTTACGTAAACAGTCATCTTAGAATTCAAGGCCCACAACACACTCATGCCTATGGATGAAATCGTATGCTTACTTTATCTGACAATGGTCTCACGCCCCACCCAGTTTCCCTTTGTGCCCTGGTTTCCAGGAAGCTCAGGACTAAATTTAGTGCTCAACTGAAGCCATTCTCACACAATTCAACATATACATATCTCTTTCTGCCTTCAAAAGAGAACTTTTTCCCTGTTAGTTGCTTTATTTTTCCCCCAATGATCAAATAGGACATGGTCCTAACAGAACACATGGAAAGGACAGAAAGACATAAAGCAGCAAGAAAAATCATTTCAAATGGCTTCTGATCTCTTTTTTAAAAATCTGATTTAGCAGGCTGGCCCTATACCTGCTTTAAGGCATACGTTCCTGGCATATAATTTATTTTGGGGAGCAGGGAAAGCCTGGCTAGCCAGGCCTCAGATGAGGTTGTGCTGCATGCCTGTTTCTTTGTAGTACAGTGAGGAGGGACAGGAGCACAGAATACCAAGGCTGGATGTGTTTAGAGTAACAGAGGCTGGAGCTAGAAAGGATCTTTAGGATCATCTGGTCTAATCCTTTCATGTTTTTCCTAGGGAGCCCCATCCTTCCCGGGCCAGGCTCCCGGGGGGCCATGCAAAAGCTCACTTTGAGAGGAGAACAGCTCATCTGACTGGTCTAAGTGGCAGCACTTGCGCTGGGTCACATTTACTGGTGGATGGAGTAGCCAAGTGTCAATAGGCGCCCCCCCACACCCCCCTCTTTGCTTCCCTTCTATGGAGTGCGAGCTGGGCAAGGCGCCTCCAGGTCTGCCTGGGGCAAGGGCTGCCGGCTCTCAGTGCTCGCTGTCAGGCTCAGGCAGAGATAGTAAGGTCTCGGGATCTAGATTTGAAGGGTGGGTAGGGGGCGCCTGGGTGGCTCAGTCCGTTAAGCGACTGCCTTCGGCTCAGGTCATGATCCTGGAGTCCCGGGATCGAGTCCCGCATCGGGCTCCCTGCTCAGCAGGGAGTCTGCTTCTCCCTCTCCCGCTCCCCCCTCTTGTGCTCTCTCTCTCTCAAATAAATAAATAAAATCTTAAAAAAAAAAAAAAAAGGGCAGGTAGGAGGTATACCAGAGCTCTGGTTATAGCAGGTGAGCAGTTACTAGCCCAGCTTTAAAAGTAAAAGCAGAACTGTGTTTCCCATGTGACTTCAGGTCTCTGCAGGGAGGGGGCAGGCTGGCAGGCTAGACCCAGATGGGTCATTTAACATTCCCTCATTTAGCAGCACCTTGAGCCCTAGCATCTAGTTTTTGGAAGCGCCTAACTCCTGGCTAGCCAGGCCTCACATGAGGGAGGTGGGCCTCGACCTAGCACAGAATACCCAGGTCAGTAAAAAGGAAGAGAAATGCTCAGTGAAAGATTCAAGGAGTAGGAAAGATATGGCAGAACTCTTCAAAAACTAAAAGTATAAGTATAAGGTTCTAAAAGGACAAATGCTCAAGGAACTTGAGGGCCAACTAATTTTTTTAATGTTGAAAAATCTACGTGACAACAGAGCCAAGTCCAGTAAAGTTAGAAACATAGGCTGATTTTCAAAATACAAACCACAGTAGTGGGTTGAGTTTAAATTATAAATATTAAATGACCTTGACCAGAATCAAAGTGTAGCTTCCTAGAAAATGCTTCCTTTCTACCATTTAGTAAAGTTGGTTGTAAATCACTGAACCACAGAACTTTGAAGCTAGAAATAGGCTCATAGCTTTTATCCAATCTAACCAATGTTTAAGAATAATCTTAAAAGGAATCTCCAAAAACATGAATCATAAATTATATACATACCTAGTCAGCAGAAACTGTATACAGAGTACATAAAGGAGGAATTGGCTGCTTTAAATAGGCATTCCAAAAAGGACATCCAGGTTCATACTTTGGTGACATAAACCCAAACCTCTGGTCATTCAAAGTATCCCTAAATCCCCTGACCTATGAAAATTTGGAAATGACAATTTCGGAAGCAACCTAACCTCTATTTCCAGCCTTCTCTGTCCTGCTTCCTCAGGCATGTGGATGAAAACACACACAGCATGCACAGACTCTGAATAAAACCTCAGAGAAGAGAAAAGGTCGGCAGAATTTCCAGCATTCTCTTTGGCCTGCGGCTGGAGGAGCCTTGTGATATTGGGGCACATGCTAATCCCCATTACCTACCAACTGTACCTTGTTCTGGGATGGCAGGGAACCTGAGAGAAGTGATAGACACAGCCTGTGTCCTCGAGAGGATCACAGTCCCTCTGGGTAGGCAGGTGCTGGATACCCTAGGGTGATGGGGTGGATGGCACGGAGGCTTGGAGGGCTGAGAACGGGCTTGCTGGAACGGAATGCCTGTGTGGGGCCTTAGCTGATGACTAGATGCTGAAGAGGCAGAGAGGCGAGTCCCCCACCGCTGCAGCCTTGCAAACACTGGCACTGTGGGTTTGTTGTTTTTTTTAATGATACCTAGAAAAATGCCTATCTATGCTATCTTTGCCATCGCAAGAAACGATTTTGCAATGATGAAGAAACACAAATCTAACTCCTAATCAAATGACACAACACTCACCACTTCACTCACCCCAGAGCATGGCCTCTTGTGCAAGGAGACACACCAACAACACTTTGTGCACGTGGGGCGAGGGGGGACAAGCAGAGGATGGTGGACACAAAGGGCCTAGAGCAGCCACCAGACCAACTCTTATGTTCCTCTTTACGCAGTTAAAGAAAACACATTATAAAGATGGACTTCAGGATGAAAATACATTGTACAGATGGTACTTCTGCCCCCATATACTTCACATTTGTCCTTAATGTCTTTTCCCCTCAGCCCCCGTGACAGGGATGTTACTAGCAAGCTGTGCGCATCTCCTACTTCTATTCTGGATGACTTCCGCGAGGGAGGCTGGATAGGAGCACTCACCCGAGGCGGGCTCTGAGGGAGGGGAGTAAGACGGTGTCCTGGAGAAAGGCAGCCAGGAGAACGCCGGTCTTGAGATGTTTCTCTTCCCTTCTCCCACCTCCAGAGCAGGAAGAGGGGACTGGCCTAAAACCCAAGTGGCAGCCACTTGGCTGTGCACGGTCACTTCTTCTGGGAGCCCCTTTCCTCTCGCCAGGGAACCCCGGGATGTTGCGCTCTCCGTGTGCGAAGGGGCAGTTCTTCCTTCAGACCCTGAGCTGGATGGCAAGTGAGGAGTTCCCAAAGCTGAAAGCAGACGGCAACAATTACAATTCCACCAGCAGACTTCCAAATGTCTGAGTAATGGGTAGTGGGCTCACCTCTGACCTCTCTGAGGAGAAATGAGGAGCAATTATTCATTCTGTGAAAAATTCACTCCTGAATGAGAGACCGCAAACCAAGACAAAGCCTGTGTTCAGATCTCCCCAACAAAGATAGCATTTATAGTGGTCAAGTTATTATAAAAGGGGCATAATGAAGCTAAGTATCAGACGATATGGAACCAAAGATCCGATTCCAATCACCATGACTTGTCACTCACATTCCACAAAGCTGGTCTCAGAACTGACCTGAAGTCAACATAAACAAAATTCCAATATCTGCATGACCAACACACCCAGGCGGCATCCTGTGCGGTTCTAAGCTCTCTGTCCATCACTCATGAATGGAACATAAAATACTGTCACTTGTACTCTTTATAGAATTGAGTCCCTCAGCCCGACCTCCTGGAACTAGCTCATGAGACCAGGGGATCATCTTTGATGGCTTCATTCTCTACTTTTAGGCTGTTACCAAGTCGTATCCATTTTCCTTTGTGAAGAGTCTTTACCAATCCCTTCCTCTCTGCCCCTGAGGCCACCAGGTCATGGGTCTTAGCACCTGGCATCTGCCTGGGTGGTCCCCCTGACTCTGCCCCATCTCCCACCCCAGACGTCTTCTACCTGCCTGCCAGCTGAATCTTCCCCAAATTCGCTTTGATCATGTCACCGTCTTGTTCAAAAACCTTCGGTGACTCTTCCTACCACACCAAATCTAAACTGCCTGGTTTTCAAAGTCCTCAATGTCTGCCCCTAACCCCATCCACACAACTCTCCTCCACGTGTGACCGATGCCCTCCCCATGGGATGCTGCTGGCCTTCCCACCCCACAAAGAGACCAAGCTTCTCTTCTTTCCTCACATGGTCTGTGCATCCCGCTCCTCAGCTACTCTTCCCACCTTGCTCAGATGCACAGAGAGGCTCAAATCCCAACTCTAAAACTTATTAGCTGTTTGACCTAGACACCTCAGATTAATTAACTTCCCTACCTCCAGTTTCCAAATTCCTAAAATGAGGATAATGTGACCTCATTGGCTTGCTGTGAGAATTGAGGGAACAGACGTGTCGGTATGCAGTAGGTACCTAATTGGTGCCAATTTTCTTTGTCTTCCCTTCCTCAGTCAAATCTTACCCATCTAGCCCCAGCCCCTTCTTGAAACCTTTTTGCACAAAGTGCCAAGCCACTGAGCTCTGTAGACTGACGGAGAAACCACTGGACCGACGTGCACACAGACGCAGCTGTACGGCCCGCTGGACCAGACCCGGTACCTCTGAGACTGTGGTGTGTGGGACGGTCACCGGTGTTGCTGGGATTCAGTCTGGCCACGGAGTGTCAATTCCATGGGGCTGCTCAGGCCTCCAGGCAAATCTGCACCCTCACCTGGTCTACACGGCTAACTCAGTTAATCACAGCATGCCACAGAGGGAGTCGAAGCCACAGGTCTGACCCACAGCCCAGGACCCTTGGATGGGCACCGGGGCTCAGGCTGGGGGAAGAGAGAGATGCAGAAACTTCGTTTTCCAGGAGGGGACATACATGCATGAAACGGGCCATCACTGGCACAAACTCACCTGTGGTGACGCTCTGGGAAGTCAGAGCTGTTGCTGTCTCAGCCCCGACGGGGGAAATGGTGAAATTTGTCTTCCCGGAAGAGTCGTTTCTTCCTCCAGCATCTGCTGCTTCAGTTTGTGGAGTGAAGTTTTCTGGAGCATCTGAAGAAGTGTGGTTCTTTCTGGGGGTCTGAGTCCTCACACCCTCCTTGGAGACCACTGTGGAAAAGTCCATTTGGTTCTGATCAAAGGTGACGTTTTCTGTGTGGGATTCAGTGTTACTTTCTGGCCAACTGTTCGTTTCAGCAGCTGAAACACAAGAAAATGGATCAGTGAGAACTTGCTGGCTTCTGAAAGAGAAGGAAACCTTCAGAAAAGCCAGGAGCGGATGTATCAGTAAAGAAGTGGATTCAGGTCGAATAATTTCATCTTCCTTTTTTTCTCCCACGGGAATTATTCTGACAATGCAGTGGGAGAAATTATGAAGCAAAAATACCAGGTAGGACTGCATTTTACAGGAAGTGGAATAAATGATGAAAACCACTAGAAGGAGACCAGTGTGGGGCTCAGGGGCAAGCATCTGAAGCTCAGGCGTCTGGGCAGGCTCAGGGAGGGGTGTGGGGGGTGCAGGTCAGGTGTGAGCGCAGGGAAGGAAGCACTTCCAAGCGTCAAGGTTGTGAACTGTGTTTTCTGTGTGGTAGGAGGGTAAAAGCCAGCAGCTCTCCACCCTGACACCTACTCTTGCCAGCAGCGGGTGGGGGCGGGGACATGCATAATTCTGGAACACCTATGAAGGATTTGGCCATATTATCAAAACCTTATAATATAAACAGGTTTGAGGCAGTGATTCTGTTTTCTTTGAATATTCATGCTAAGGAAATACTCAAGAATGTGGACAATTTAGCTGCACTGATATTCATGATGTCATTGTTTATAATAGCAAAAAAGGAAGGAAGGAACAAACAAAACTGAAAATCTATAGTAGGCGATCAATTAAACGAGTTGCAGTATATCTATATGAAAGGACACTCTGAGGTATTAAAATAATGTTGTAACATAAAATAAAGATATTCTACAGGTATTATCGAATTAAAACAACAGGTTTCAAAATAGAATTGACTATGATGTCATTTTGTTTTAAAAAAAAAAAAAAAAAGAAGGGCCATCATATATGTGTGTGTGTGCCAAACACTGATCGATGTAAGCTCTCGGCGTGCCCTCATTTGTTCAATCTTGCACAACGTTGAGGTAGGTGCTCTCATTCTCCCCACTTTGCACGGGAGGCAGAGGAGGTACAGGGGGTCATGCTCCCTGCCCAAGTCACCAGGCAGCCTGCTCCCTGCCCAGGTCCCTGAGCTCTCACGGCACCCAGAGGAAAGGACAAAGTGCATTGTAGCAAATCCTCTGGGTTTGGAGGGGTCATGTCCCATGCAGGGGTGCCAAGGAAAGGGTGCTTACTTGTATGGACTGTTGTTTGACATTTATAAATTAGGGATGGATGCAGGTTAGTCAGAAAATATCTTGAAGTGATCATTTTCTGCCATATTGCCCAAGATGGTGGCAAAGAGAACAGTGGTTAAAAATGTCAGGATCCTGTAAAAGTTGTGGGAAAACTGGGCACAGAGGTAATCATTGGTGGTGTCAAGTGCCATTTGTCAAGGCAGGGGGTTCAGAGTCAGAGCAGGTAGGTGGGACGCCTGAGTCCAACCCAAGAAGGCTGTCTTGCTACTCTGACAACGTGTGCACATGACCCAGAAACACCTTGGAAGCCAGAGCCCGCCACTGCCGGGATGCCAGCTCCTGAAGATCAAAAGAACCTTCTAAGAGCCTGGATATCTAAACTAATATGGAAGTGAATATGAAATACATGTGCTAATTGGAGGGCACGGAGTATAACGAGTTTCTAGAGAATGCAATGAGGACAAGGACCATTTAAAGTTATTGCTGATTACATGGTTCCTTTAAAAACCTATTTTTATTTTCCTCACCTGGGAATGATATTTTCCTTTCTGCCTAGGATCAGGGGCTGTGGGCACTGTTGAGAAACCTCTGTGGGAATGAATGAAGTCACCTCTATCTGTATGAGTCAGGCAAAGTTGGCCAACCATCTGACCAGTAGAGGCTATAGGCTGAACCAACGTTTTGGGCTCAAAATATCACACAGACACATACACACACACTTTCCCAAAAGGAACAAGTTATCTTCTAGATCAGCACTGTCTAAGAGATGTATAGAGTAAGACACAAATGCCAGCCACATATGTAACTTTATTTTAAAAAGTTACAGGTGAAATTAATTTTAATAAATATTTTACATACCCTGATATATTTAAAATAGCATTTCAATATGTAATTGATATAAAAATTATTGAGATACTTTGCCTTCTTTTTCTGGTATTACACCTGTAAAATCCAGAGTATTATTCTAGCTGTACTTCAAGAGCACAATAACCACCCGTGGCTAATGGCTACAATACTGGACAATGCAGTTCTAGATCAGTGGTTCTCGCATTTCCGCACTCTGGTCCCCTCCTACCAGAAGTGTGGCTCACTTATTGGGGTCTGGGGGGGATGATTTTAAAATCTTCCATAAGAGATTCTGACAAACTTTCCTAAGGGAACCCTTTTCTCCCCAAATCCCTTGAGAATTGCTGTTTTCATGCTTCCTATTCTGTTTCCTGTAACTGATAATTAACAGAAACTTCCTGAAGGGGGAGGGAAGTTGCCCAGGCATTTGGGCTCCTCTGGAGCCCAGCCCCAGACAGGCCAGGCCCACATTCAGCTGGCAATGGGATATGGAGGGGTGTTTCCAGGGGCAGCCGCCAAGTCTGTAAGTTCAACTTGAGACTCCCGGGTTATGGAGATCAGAGACCCACCCATACAGCTTGTTCCCTTTGTTCTTCCTATTTGAGCTGCAAGTCAAGCTGGCCTCCAGAGAGGTGCAAAGGTTTGAGGATGCTTTCTCTCTCCTCGGGCACAATGAGAGAAATTAGTCTCTTAAAAGAAGTCAGAATAAAAGTGATTGTGGGGAGGTAGAAAGGACTCAAAACCCATACCCTGAAGCTGGTAAAACACAAGCAGAGGAAGAAAATGAATTTCACTCTATTATAGGCTTAAGATGAGTGTGAGATTTGGCTGTTGTTGAGCCTCTCAGGCTCATATGGCTGTGTCTCTGAGGAAGCAGCAACATGCCCTTCTTCAAGGAACTGGAAACGTCCTTAGTCAGCTCAAGGAATTCCACTACAGCCCGCAGAAGGAACAGAAGGGCCACATAAAACAAGACGTGGTTAGAACTGAACCACGCGGTCTCCCTGGAGGGTTGGCTAAAGATGGAAGAAAGAAAAAAATGTGCACTATAAACAAAAGAGAAAGGCAGACAGTAGTCTTGCACTGTCCCAAACAACGCTGCCACTACAAACTAAATATGCTAAATAATGTATTTTTAAAAAAATATTTCTAAATGCATTGCTGAGTTGGCAAGTAAAGAATCAAATCTTCTAAGACCAAACATGAGCCAAGAGCTGGAATTCAGAGAAGTGAGCTAATTCCAGAACCAGCAGCTGCCCTGGGGCACCTGCTTAACTTTTGTGACCCTGAACTTCTGTTCTGATTACCATGAGGATATAGGAGATAGGAGACAAAACTCTTAAAGAGAGAGTCTGAGAGGAAACTTTTTTTTTTTAATTTCTTTGAATTTTTAAGACTATTTTATTTTTTTCTTTAAAGATTTATTTATTTGACAGGGAGGGAGAACACAAGCAGGGGGAGCAGCAGAGGGAGAAGAAGGCTTTCCACTTAGCAGAGAGCCCAACGTGGGGCTTGATCCCAGAACCCTGGGATCATGACCTGAAGCAAAGGTAAATGCCTAAGCAACTGAGCCACCCAGGCACCCCAAGGAAACTCTTGTATAAAGCTGGGACCAGGGCTATACCATATCTATAAGGCACATAGAAAAAAAAATATGCCCTGCCGAATGGGACAGCAGAGAAAAGTGGTCTTTTGATCTTGGTTTTAGGTAAAGGAAAGTAAATCTCACTCAAGAATTTGTAACCATAAAGGTAGCCCTCACGTGGGTGTACAGCATGAATTCACAATGCCTGTGTGGTCTAAACCTCAAGCCAAGGATATTTTAAAATTGGTCCTGAATTTTGTGAATATACTAAAACCACTAAATTATACTTTAAAAGGGTGAATTTTATGGTATGTAAATTATATCTCAAATACACATCACGTATGTGCACACACATACACACATATACCTCATTAATGGGAAGGAAAAGTGTTCTGATATACAGTGCTTCCTGCTTGGCAGAAATAAATGTGAATGCTCTCTAAATGAACATACCTTCAATCCAATTTTATCATTTATTGATACAATTCTAAGGAATAAGAGATCAATCACCATCAAAAGGCACAAAATATATAAGGAAAAAAAGGCATCAATGGGCAAAAGCCAGCAACCTAGATAAGCAAAGACTTCAAATACTGGAATTATCAGTAAAAGAATGTAAGTATATAAAAGTACATGAAAAGGAATAAGAAACTGAAAATGAGAGAGAGACTATGAATAATGGCCAAAAGATATGAAAGAACTCTAAATGGAAATTCTAGAAATGAATAAATTATAATAACTGAAATTAGGAAACTCAACAGATTAGATATGACTGAAAAAGAACTAATAATTACAAGACAGATCATGAGAGAATGCCCGGATGATATAAAAAGATAGAAAATATGAAAAAGAGATGAAGAGACAATGAAGATAGAGTGAGAAAGTCTAACATATATATAACTGGAGTTCCTGGTGGAGAAGAGAGAAATAGCAATATTCAAAGAGGTAATGGCTAAGAATTTTCCAGAATGGATAAAAATGAACCAAGTAAACTAAGGAAGCCCAACAAATCCTTAGGAGACTAAATAAAACAAAAATATAAACCCACATCATAGTCAAACTGCAGAAAACTACAAACAAAAGTATGTCTTAAAAACAACCAGAGGGGAGGGGCATCTGGGTGGCTCAGTCGGTTCAGTGTCCAACTCTCGATCTCAGCTCAGATCTTCATCTCAGGGTTGTGAGTTCAAGCCCCGTGTTGGGCTCCATGCTAGGTATGGAGCCTACTTAAAAAACAAAAACAAAAACACAAAACAGAGGGGGGAAAAAATGACAAATCATCTACAGAAGACAATAATTAGACTAACAGCTGATTTTTCAACAGCAACAATGGAAGCCAAAAGACAGTGGATAAATATTTTCTTTCTTTTCTTTTTTTTTTTTTTTAAAGATTTTATTTATTTATTTGAGAGAGAAT